CCAGATAGGCAAAGGTTACCACCAGGCACACAATCAAGCAGTAAACAATACCGTAATCAAGGAACTACCAGAGGAACAAAACCAACCCCCCACCCCCACCAACACTGGCAGGGCCTACCACAGTATATAAACAGAGAAAAAACCCCACTCCATTTTAGCACTGAAGAAGGTACCTAGACGGGTAATGAAACGTTTGGAAGAAAACAGCCAAGCTCAGAGAACCCCAGGGACTCCACAGTTCAACCCTGAGCTACACATATTCGCCTCCATTGGTATAAATTTTGCTAAAAGTTTTTAAGAAAATGTAAAAACTAACAGAATAAAGAAAACACAGAAAAAGAGAGAAGAAAAAAAGACAAAAGTGAGAAAGAAAAGAAAAAGAAATAGGAAGAAAAAGCTCCTGATTTCCTTTGCAGCAAATATAAGTCTGATTACAAAGTTATCTCTTCCTCTGTGATTACAGAAAATGCTCACTTTTTCCTATTATCTAATTTTTTCCCCCTAATCATCAAAACCGCAAGTCATAAGTGCATTTTTTCTGTTTCATGCAAAAAGTCTATAAGGGGTTTCCAGTCAGCTATCAATGTGCAAAACTGCTATTTTCTTCAGTTTGGGATGAAAACTGGCTGGAAATTCAGGGACCAGACTGAAAAAGTCTGTAGTATTAATAGCAAGGTACAGTTTGGAGTCAAAACCACTAAATACATCAACAGGACATAATGTATGTGAAAGATGAGAGTGTTGGTCTGCTATAATGTTCCCTAACCTTCGCAGCTTCCAGGACTTCAACTCCCAGAATTCCCCAGCCAGCAGAGCCATAGCTGAGAATTCTGGGAGTTGGTCTTCATGTTTGGAAGTTGCCACTATAGGGAACCATTGGCCTAATACACTTGAGGTTTGTCAGGTTGGGAAGGAATGACTTACATCCTTGTTCTTGTACTAGGAGAAGAACCTCCTAATGGAAATATTGCTTTCTGATTCTCTTGGAGCAGGTGGAAAGTTGTGAGAGCAGCTCCCATAGTATGGATGAAGTCTCTCTCAGTGAATTTGGGGAGTGGACCGAAATCCCTGGGGCACATCACATCATCCCTTGTGGCTTTATGAAGATTGTGGAGATCCTGTCCCGTTCAATCCCAGAGTCGGTCATCCAGCTGAACAAGCCAGTCAAATGTATCCACTGGAATCAGTCCATCAGCAAGGAGATAGAGCAAGTGGCTGACCACAATGAAGATCACGTAGAAGAAAACGCAGGTTACAGCGTTCTTGTGGAGTGTGAAGACTGCGAGTTCATCTTGGCTGACCATGTCATTGTGACAGTGTCTTTGGGGGTCCTGAAGAAGCACCACGAGGACATGTTCTACCCCCCATTGCCTGAAGAGAAGGTGCTGGCCATTCAGAAGCTGGGCATTAGTACCACAGACAAGATCTTCCTGGAATTTGAGGAGCCCTTCTGGAGACCTGAATGCAACAGCATTCAGTTCGTCTGGGAAGATGAAGCGGAGGCCGAGAGCCTCACCTATCCAGAGGAGCTGTGGTACAAGAAGATCTGCAGCTTTGATGTCCTCTACCCGCCTGAGCGTTACGGCCATGTGTTGAGTGGCTGGATTTGTGGGGAGGAGGCCCTCATCATGGAGAAATACGATGATGAAACAGTTGCAGAGATCTGCACTGAGATGCTTCGCAAATTTACAGGTCTGTGGTTCTTCCCTTTTGGGCCTGGAAAGTGGAAAGGCTGGGGTGATGGTGGTGGAAGAATGCAAAAATGATGGGTAGGTCAAGTCTCCATTGTGGCTCTGTCTTGAACTTAGTAATAGTGCTGTGCCCCATATCAGGGTAGGGCAAGGCATATGTAGGTGGTTCCAAGGGGTCTTATCCTGAACTTAATCTTTGTGGGTAGAGCCATGCCCCATATCAGGGTAGGGCAAGGCATATGTAGGTGGTTCCAAGGAGTGTCATCTGAAACTTAATCATTGTGGGAGGGGCCACGGCCCATTTTACAGTGGGACCAAGGGATATGTAGGTGGTTCCAAGGAGTCTCATCCCATGGGAACACAACCTGTTGAAACATTTCAACAACATATTTCAAAGGGACTGTTTTGTTCTGAGACAGGAAGCCTAATTGTGTTATCAATTGTGTCTTTTGTTCCTTAAAATGGCTATGATGATTTTCAACAATATAGACCAGATAGAAAAAAGGTGTGTTTGGGGGGGGGGGAACACATTCATTCTGGGATCCTGATTTTCCCATCCCTGGCTTAAAGAATGGCTTTTAGCGAAGAACTCTTCCTTAACCTCCATCTATTACAACTGTTTTTGTGTGCCTGTGAATATCAGTGCAAGATGCTGAATAAGACCTCACCTTTCTCCTAATCTTGGGATTTGAAGGACTGTAGATTAATCTCTACCCTTATTGAGAAGCTTGGAGGAATTTTAAAGGTCCTCTTCCCATTTCAGGTCTAGCAAATGATGTCCAAGATGAGACCTGGTCCTCCTTAGGTATCGCCTGTCATTAGAAACATGTGGGTATTGTTGAAGGAACAACCAAAGGAACACTCTCCTTGGAAACAAGCTTGAATCCTAGTAACTACATGGATACGTCAAGATTGTTTTTTTGGAAGCAGTATGGAACTGATTGATGGCCATTGCTTTCTTTTGTTTACGTTGTTTGGACTTCCCAGCCTAGTCGACAACTAGATTTTTGGTTAAAGTCTACACATTAAACCATATTTCACAAATAATCCTAAATGTACCCCTTGACTGTCCGCCCCGCCCCCATCTCCTTCCCTTAGGGAAAGCACTTCTCTGTTTCTTATCCTGGTTTGGAGATGTCAGTCAGCTTTCAGGTTGTTTACCAAAATAATATTTTAGTATTTGCAGGATAGAAATAGTGGATTCAGCAAATCATAAGTCACACCTAAGAAATGTTGTTGAGATGTGCTTTCTGCTGATCTTGCGTTTTAATTTGAAGGTGCTGTCAGCAACGTTTCGCAAGCAGAAAAACCAGTTTTAGGGGAATTGTTTTGGGTTGTTACCTTGCAGTTTTTTCTTTGACCGGGGCATGACCGTAAATAAATTGTCAGATATCTCTGCAACGGTAATCAGAAGGAGTGTGGTACAAAAGCGTATGCTTTTTAATAAAATTTTTGTAAAAGGTACCACCAGATTCCTCCTGACCGTAGACTAACCTATCTCTCCAACAGTCTCTGCAAAAATAGCTTCAGACAGAGTAGCTAGAACAGTGTTTCTCAGCTGTGAACTGAGAATTCCTGGGGAATTCTGGGAGTTGAAGTCCACACGGCTTCAAGTTGCCAAGATTGAGAAACACTGAGGTAGAACAATCTCTCTTTGACAAACAGAGCCCCAGGTTAAACTGTGTCAGCAATCCAGTCTTTTGAATCCAACAATATCATCTTGTGAGCAAGGTAAATGAGTTTTGATTCTAGATCAGAGTTGATTATATGAGTCGGGAGCAAGCCAGCCTTTAATATCAACCATAATATCAACTATAATTTAATACCAATGATAATATGAACAGATGTAATCGGGTGAGAAGAGGAGAAATTAGATTCCCATCCCTGTGGGAGACATTCTGTGAAGATGGCAACTCAATTGTGTCGATAAAATTATGTCAATTTTAAATACTGACATAAAAGTTTAAATATTAAAATTTAATAAAAATGGTTAGTTGGAAAAGGGGTAACAGGTTTCTCCTGATTTAGGGCGACCATAGACCAACACAATTTTCTACCTACAATGTCTAAGTGAAGGTGGTGAGTAGGGAAAATCTGAGAGATGTTGATGTCAAGTCTTTGTGCCAGGAATATCCAAAGTTGATTGCTCCTATTTAATGTGAAAGATCCATGTTGCAAATCTCCTGATTTATTGGTGAGATTTATATCCCGCCCTTTCTTCAGGAGCTCAAGGCAGCATACACAACACTGCCTTCTCTCATTTTTCCTCATGACAACCCTGTGAGGGAGGCTGTGTGAAGACCTGAGTGATTGGCCCAATGCCACCCAGTGAATTGCCATGGCAAGTGGTAGACTGGAACTCTGATTTCTGTAGCCTTTAACTATTATACTGGACTTCCATTTCAAGAACATCTTTTCCCAATAGCTTGCCTGGTTAGTGTGGCATCTGTAATCCAGCTGGAAGGAACCTAAGTGATCAAGTCCAATCTCCTTCCCACTGCAGGATCCACTACACCATCCTCTGTTTGAAAACCTCCAGTGAAGGGGAAGAAACCATTCCATGTGGTAACCTGTACCACTGATCGGCAGCTCTTACTGTCTAGAAGTTCTTCCTCATGTCTGATCTGTATCTACATCCTTGAAGTTTCATCCCATTAGTTCTAGCCTGGCACAAATGAGAGAATAAGTCTGAACCCTCAGTGTAATTGAGATATTTGAAGACAGCTATCGTGTCTCCTCTTAACCTTCTCTTCTATAAGCTAAACAGACCCAGGTTCCTCATAGGACTTAGTTTCCAGTCCTTTCACCATCTTGGTAGCCTTTCTCTGGACTTGCTCCAGTTTATCTATGTCTTTTTTAAACTAGAACGTGTGGAATTGATGCAATACTTCAGGTGAGGCCTGATCTAGGCAAGGTATTTACTTCTCCCAATCTGGACTCTACACTCTGCTTGATGCTCCTCAAGATGTCCTTGGTCTTCCTTGTAGCTGCATTAATAAGGCTATCCTGTATTCAGTATGAACAGTGCCAAACCACGGGTGCTAAGGCGGGGGTCCGCAATGAGCACATATTGCCTGCTGGAAAAACAAGGCCACCGGAAATTCTATGTTTTGGGCTACCATTCAGGGTTTTGTATTTTTCAACAGCTCCCACAATCTCCCTTTTGGTTTAGGGAATCCAGACATTCCGAAACCTCGGCAGATCCTTCGATCCTCTTGGGGCAGCAACCCCTATTTCCGTGGCTCCTACTCCTACACGCAAGTTGGGTCGAGCGGAGCAGACGTGGAGAAACTTGCGAAACCCTTGCCTTACGCAGAGAGTTCCAAAACAGTGGTAGGTATTTCCCGGGAAGTACCTGACCATCATCGGTCAGGAGAAAGATGAATGCAGAAAAGTGGTCCATTTGGTGGTTTGATTTCTAAAAATGATCTTTCTTGAATATGATATATTATCTTTCTTGAATATGATATATGCAGTGACTGGAAAACCCCAGCTGTTGAATGGGGCCAGCTGTTGAATGGGGCCATTTTTTTCCACCCACCCAGCTGTAATCTCAGAACATAAGAGGGTTTGGGCTTCATTTGCCCCAAGGGTGTTAAACCTTTTCTAGTTTGGGGTGCTCTCCCCATACATCTGAATCAGCATGAGATTTTCGTGATCTCTCCATTATTTTATATGAGATTGTCAAGACCACTGAAATCCTGCCTGGTTTGGTGATAGTACAAGATTTTGCCATTTATTTAAAAAAAATAATTTAATTTGTGATTTGAATGAGTTTTTGGGGGGAGACAGTAGGACCTCAGGAATGTGTTGCAGGATCTGGCATAATGGTGTCTTCTTTCAAGACCTTCTTGACTCCATACTTGATATTCTTGATAACCACTGAGAATATCTTTTGATTGTGGAGGAACCTAGATGTCATAAACAAATAAATAAACATTTTCTGATGTTATCCCTGGTGTCCTCTGTCCTCTTGGTTCCTGAAAGGTACAGTGGAACCTTGGTTTACGAACTTAATTCGCTCTGTGACTCTGGTCGCACCCC